TTGTGGAACCAAGTAAACTAAAACTGTTAACTATCTCAACCTCTTCATGAAACTTTATATCACAGACGTTGGACATGTTGTCAGGAGGGGCGAGCCCTTGGAAAAAGACATCATGTTGGGAAAGGTGAGGAAGGGGTTGTGGTTGTTACTAGGTGCTGTCGAGTTGCATATGACTCATAGTGACCCTGTGAACAACAGATTTGAGCCCTGTCCTGTCCTGTGCCGTTCTCATCATCTCTGACACATGTGAGCCCATTGCTGCAGACACTATATCAATTCACCTGGTTGAGGGCCTTCCTCTCCTTTGTCATTTGTCCACCTTTCCAAGAATGATGTCCCTCTACAAGGAATAACCTCTGCTAACAACATGTCCAATGTATGTGAGATGAAGTTTTATCATCTTTGCCTCCAACGAGGACTCTGGCTTGGTTGTACCTCCTCCAAGCCCTATCTGTTCATTCTTTTGGCAGTCCATGGGATATCCAGTACTCTTCTCCAACACCACAGCCCACAGATGCCACTTCTTCTCTTGTCATCCATATTGTTAAGCTCTCAGTTGGACAGCAAGTGATTGGAAAGAACATGGTCTGAATCAGGTGCACCTTAGTCCTTAAGATGACATCATTGCTCCTCAATAATTTGGAGAGATTCCTGATTACAGCAGACAAATACGTCTCCTGATCTCTTGACTGCTGCTACCAAGTGTACTAATTGTGGATCCAAGTAAGATGAAGGCATTGACAGTTTCAATCTTTTCTCCACCTATCATGATGTTGCCTATCAATCCAGGAGTGAGAATTTTTGTTTTCTTTACATTGAGATGTAACTCATATTACATACCCGTTTGCTCTGTAAATTTTCACCCAATCACAACTAAAAGTAAAAACATGTGGAAGATTTTCCACCTGGAATCATGGATGCTGCTGTGGAGAAGAAACAGAAGGTTCCTGCAGTACCAGAAAACCCTTAAGAAAAAGTGAATGGATTTCCCAGGATCGGAAAGAACATGGCCTGAATCAGGCGCACCTTAGTCCTTAAACTGACATCATTACTCCTCAATAATTTGGAGAGATCCCTGACTATACAGACTTTCCCAGAACAAGAGTGTGAGAAAGAAGTTTGCCCAAAAGATATTTCAAAAGCCAAAGAGGAAGCGTACCTATGCAAAGGCTAAGGTGTTATCACAAAGCTTACAGGCAGATGTACAGAACTGAGATTCGAAGGGCTCGGCTGGTAAGAAAAGCTGGCAACTTCTATGTCCCTGCAGACCCCAACTGGCATTTGTCACCAGGATCAGAGAGATCAGCGGTGGGAGCCCAAATGTTCTTAAGGGATTGCAGATCCTTCGCTTTTGCCAGATCTTCACTGGCACCTTTGTTAAACTTAACAAAGGGCCATTTAACACATTGAGGATCCTGGAAGCATACTCCCCACGGGGGTACCCAAACCTGACTTCTGTCAATGAACTGATCTAGAAGCAAGATTATATGCAAAATCTGGAAGAAGCAAATTGCTCTACCAGACACCACTTTTTTTTTTTTAGGAACTCAGAGAACATTTATTATGAATGGTGAAATTATTTAAGAATGATCTCAATAAATTATTTTTAAAGTTTTTACTAGGATTCAGTGTCAACTGTGGGGTGGGTTTTTTTTTCAAATTAATAGAATTTTATTACAAGAATCAGATGCATTTTGAAATCTGATGCATAGGACTTGACCGGCCTCATTTCTGTTGCTGGAAAACTCCTAGCTATCGCTCATCAGCCTGCTGGACAGTTCCTTTTTCGGAGACATAGCTGCCATCCCAAAATTTCCGGATATCCTTGTTTTTAACTGTTGTAGCTTGCTGAATCAACGCAGATGAATTTGACACAAGCTCAATGTCATTTCCTTCAAGAATTAAGTCATCTTTTTGGACTTGAGATACTGAACAAGCAACACCTGGTCTCATTTGAACTCTCCCGAATGTATTTTTCACCCAAGAAGTTTCGAATTTCAGCCAGAAATCCACTCTCTGGAATCACAACGTTGATGGGGAAATGAGCATACACAGACCTCATCTTGTAATGAAAGCCCAGTGTTTAACACGCTTGGTCATGTTCTGTACGTGGTTACAGATGGTGCGAACGGTAGCCACTTCCTTCCTGTTTGCCCACCATTTGTCAACACGAAGCCTCTTTTTTTTCCTTCTGAGGAGACTGAGCTCTACACTGATGTGACTGAAGTCCCTCCGTAAGATTCTCTGCAGGCCTTTCACGATAACTGTGCAGCCCTTCAGAGTAATGTTGACATCCTCTGGAATATCGACAGTCTGGTTGCTGAGAACGGTCTTCATTCTCACAGTTTTGCCCACAGTGGCAAAAGCTGTGGGGTGTTTTTTATTATTATTATTCATTTTAATGAAATTTTACAGAGACTTTGGATTTCCATTCATTCATTATTGCACTTTTCTCCCTGTCCAACCTCACTGCCCAGTTTGCTCTTCTCTTTGAAAAGTAAAAGAAAAATTCTTTCATTGTTATATAATCCCTCCCCTCAAGTTCACTCCACTATGCAGCCTTCATTCTGGACTCCAGTCATGACAATAATACCTAATCATATATCCCTTTAAAACAGTTCTCTCCCTCATCTGTTTCAATGCAGTATTCATTATTTATCCCATCTTTCTCAGTCTCCCCCCAAC